TTTCACATAATTCCAAATCCATCTATTGCACTATATTATTCTCCAAAGGCTTGATCCCTCTCTTTCTGAACCTCAGGAGGGAAAGGGGCTGATCTAATATCCACAGCCAAGGGGCCACCACTGAGAAGGCCTTGCCTCTCGTTCCCACTAATTGCACCTGTGAAGGAGATGGGACCAAGAGCAGGGCCTCCCCAGACTATTTTAATCTCCGAGATGGTTAGTAGGGGGTCATACGTTCATACAGGTAAGCTAGGCCAGTTGAGATTGACCCATTATATGTTCCTTCATATACCGATACGTTTGTGTAGAACAGGAGCAGTCCCCTGCTACAAGTTGGGGGTTTTTTTGGCTGAGGGGAGGTTGTGTCATTGACTTTCCATGAGATTTGGAAGGGGTGCCCCTATCATGCAGCGCCATGCACCACCCTGATTTTTTTTTTTACTTTTAACAATTGGCCCCAAATGTCCCAAAGACTCTAAGGGGGCATGGGGACAAAATCATCATCATCATCATCATCATCATCATCATCATCGTCGTCGTCGTCGTCGTCGTTGTCATCCTCCTCCTCACCATCATCATCACACACACACCCCAAGTCTGGTTCAGGTCCAAGAGAGGGTTTGGTTTTTTTTTTTAATTTCTTACTTCCTTTTCTTCTTTATGACCCAGCACTATAAACCCAGATGTGCTGGAGTTTCAGGGCAGGGGATTGTGTGGGACCTGCATCAGTCTTGCCTACATAGCTTCCACTGCCAATTTGAGGTATATTGTTTTGAAATATACTTGAGGATATATTTTATAGTGAGCTTGCAGTGCTGAAGACTCAGAGAGAGTCTCAAGTGTGTGTACCTGTCTTGGGATTGCCCCTCCTTTTGTGTCAGTACAGCAGATAAAAGATAAGCCAACACACTATCTCATGGTCTAGTGGGAATGTCTGTTAGTCCTACCATGGTTAAATTGCTGCCGCTTGTTATCCATTTGTGTTTCCTTGTAAACTGGGAGATCTGCCAGTCCCACTTACCACACCCCCAGCTCTGACTGTGCTGCGTAAGGTGTATTGCTGAGTATGGGGATTCTTCTGTAAATATATAAATTTCCATGGATAGAAACTTCTGTCTTCTATCAATTGTGACTACCACCAGGGAGGCAGAACATCATATTAGAGCTCTGTTTGTGGTATGTTCTGAGCCTTAGGCCTTACACAAACACTTGTGGTGGTGATCCAGCTGTGTCTCAGTGCAGCTCTTAGGATTATAGTTTGGGTTCTCATGATAGGAAGGTTCTCCCATACCACAGGCCCGTAGCCAGGATTTTGTTTCGGGGGGGGGGGGGGGTATTTTTCAGGGGGGGGTTCGGGGGGGCTGAGTTTCGGGGGGGCTGAGTCTGAGTGAAAGAGGGTCTGGCCTAGCAAACCTTTTGTATCATTACCCCAATACCCCCATGCATATGGGATATATTGAGTATGGTGATCAGATCATGATATGAATAAACATAACAGTTTAAATAATGCACCAGTAAGGCCTTTTCGCAAACCATCATGAGAATTTCGGGGGGGGGGGGCTGAAGCCCCTTAAGCCCCCCCCCCCCCCCCGGATACATGCCTGCCATACCAAACATTCCTTGGGGATTGCTGGAAATATAACTGTGCTAGTTTTATTTTCTAAAGAGTTTCTCTAGCTTAGTGGTTCTCGGTTTGTGGGTCCCCAGATATTTTGGCCTTCAACTCCCAGAAATCCTAACAGTTGGTAAACTGGTTGGGATTTGTGGGAGTTGTACAGGTTGAGAACCACTACCGAGCTGGTTACTCTACTCACAAATGCAAAGGATGACCCATGGGTATTTGAGAACAGTTGCATTTTCATCATTGGTTACTTAAAAAAATTCTGGTTTATCATGACTTCAGAGTTGGAACCAAGGGTGAAAGCTTCCTTTCAGTTTGGGCCCATCCAGATGTTACCTTTATTGCGGAAACTTCTGCAATAAAAAGGGGGCTGACCAGACAAAGTCCTGGACAATCCCGAATTAATTCACCACAAAGCAGGAAAACCCTGGTTTGTGGTGAATTAATTTGATAGTGGATTTATTTCGCACTTTCTTGGAAGGTACAGGATAAACCCACCTACTTCCAGTGTCTGGAAAACCATTCCCACAGTTTTCCGGACTAAATTAGTCTTCCTGGAGCTCTCCCGGCATGTAGGATTTCTTGCGGTTGTTCTAGATACTAGAACATGAACAAATGGATTTCAATTGCCATATAAATAGCAATAAGAGCTTCCTTACTCTTTGATGGTGGAATAGATTGCCTTGGAGGGTGGTGTTCTCTTCATCTCTGGAGGTATTTAAGCAGAGTTTGAATGGCCATTTTTCCAGAGTGCTGTATAGGTGGTTACAAACATTCGACTTACAAACTACTCATAGTTAGGAAGATGGGTGGGACAACAGGAAGTGAGAGAAATCTACCCCTTGGAAGGGAAATTCACTCCTGAAAGAGTTACCATGGGGAAAAGGTGTCTCAACTGAAACCTTATTACCAATCCTTGTTTCCAAACAAGCTATTCCCCCCCCAAAATCCAATTATCACAGGGACAGAAAGTGAGGTGAAATCTTCTGAATAGGAACACAGACAGCTAAACATCACAGTGGCATTAACTTAACACTTCCCTATGCTTCCCAAATATTTCTATAATTTCTAAAGTGTTTCTAAAGTATCATTAGTGAAAATTTTGTTACTATAATGAGAGTAATGAGATTTTGTTACTTTTTTATTTGTTATAGTAATTGCGCAATTGGGGAAACTTCAGGGGCTCCTTTCTCCCTCATTTTTACAGCTATTGTGGTGAAACTTGCTACAATGGCAGAACACATCTACCACTGTTAGCCCATCAAGTTTCAAAGTGTTTCACTTATCCATAGATTTTGGGGAATTTTCAAAGTTTTTATAAAGAACATTTAAAAGAAAAACTACTGGTGCTATCTCTTTGAATTTTCTTAATAATGACACAAGATAACAGGTAATAATTCTCCTCAACTTTCAGAAATATTCATACATCTGCTGATTTTTTTAAAAAAAGCTATCTCATTGAATGTCTTTCATATTTACCAATGAAACTTTCATTTAGGGATTTCTTCCTAGCCCAGCACAGAGATTTACTTACTGGAAGTATCAGTCAGTCCTCCTCTTTCAAGATTCAACAATGTATTGGAACTCTGGCTGACTGCTGATAGAGAGGGACAAATCTCTCCCCTATCCTATATATTATATTATTAGCATAGTACAGTATCAGTATTAAATATTACTATATTGTACAGTATCAATATTAAATATTACTATATTGTACTGTATCATTATATTGTAATATTATTAGTAATATTACATGTAATATAAATATATAATTATAACATCATATTATTGTTATTAGTATTATATTGCATTACATTAATTATTCACACAACTCAAAAACACAAAACAGATGAAATCAGGAAGAGTGTAAGAATCCTGACCAGGGAAGATAGGATTTTAGAAAACTTTTGTGTATAAGTTAAATGCCCTCTATAGCGCACAGGCACCACCTGTGCATGTTCACCAAAAATATAAAGCTGTCAAAAGGAAGAGGGAGTATGGTTGTTGAACCTCTGTATATTTAAATTTCTCTTAATTTTAATTATTGAAATATATCCCACTGATTATACCAATATCGGGAGTTTAGAGCAGAGAAGGGGAAAGATACGTAGCCTTTTAAAAGGCAGGAACTGGGAAACACTAGAACTGAGAGACTTAAAATGCCTCTTCAAATGAATTCCACTGCCACAATTCCAGTATTAATCAGGCTGAGGTAATATTGTGAGTTTGTTCTGTAACACACACTGTGCCACTATAGTTTCTTAGTGGCTGTTGTGAAGCTGACTTTAGAAATACTTTGACCACACAAGTACACACACTGAGGCTGGTATAAGTTAATAAAAGAACAAGAATGTTTATTGAACAAGCTTGAACTAATTCAGGTACAAATGCTTAATGGTTTCAGAAAATACTGGAATAAAAAGCTTGTGGTTGCATTAGAGTAAAGTCTTAAATTCTTCTGGGTTACAAATCTTCAAAGTTCCACCACAAAAAATTACTTCAGGAAATTAATCTCTGACAGTAACTCCCAAAAACTGCCCCTTAGGAATTTAGCCAAAAATACCCTGAACTAGACTTCCCTAGGGATTGAACAGTTCACTAACTGGGCCCTGCTCTACTACAGTATTCTAGCTGTCTACTAATAGCTACTCTGAATACTTCACAAAAGACTAAACCAATCTTCTTCTCTAAAACCAAACTCGCTCTGAACTAACACCAACTCTCCAACTGCTCTCTAACAACTCCAACCAACAACTGACTAACTGGGACTTCAAGCCTCTGTTTTAAAAGGACCCTTTTTTCCCTCTAGGCCACTTAGTATCCACCCCCATCTTTGTAGCCAATCCTAGCCTCCTTATTTTCCCTCTAAGACTTGAACTCTTCAAGGAAAACCTAACTAAAATGGCTTCCACACGGCTCCCTTTTCTAAAATAGATACTGTGGCTTCGCCAGGCCTACTCCCTTAGGCTTCAGCCAGCCAGCTAAGGTAAGGGATTCATTACACCCTCCCTATACGTGGCTCTATCAGAAACCAAGTTTTAAGCCACATCAAGTCCATCAGAAACTCCATCAGTACTTAGAGTTTGTTATGTTCGGCAAGTTTACTCTAGATGCATCCTCAGTGGGCTTCAGTGTGCTATTTGGCTGTAGGGTAAACTACAACTCCCACTATTGTGAGTCAGTCACCTCAAACCCCTCCAGTATGTTGAGTTAGTCATGGGAGTTCTGTGTGTCAAGTTTGGTCCAGGTCGATCACTGGTGGAGGTGACAGCTCTCCTGGTTGTAGGTGAACTGTTTTACAGTGTTAATAAGGATGTTGTCTCATGCTGAGCAGTGTTGGCTCTTGGTCATCTGAATTTTTTGTCTTCTTCCTCTGCAGGCAACTTTGTAAAGAATTTACCGATCTCTTGGCCCAGGACAGGACACCCATTGGCAACAGCAGACCCAGCCCCATTTTGGAACCAGGCATCCAGAGCTGCTTGACTCACTTCAGCCTCATCACCCATGGCTTTGGGTCTCCCGCCATATGCGCTGCCCTGACTGCTCTCCAGAACTACCTGACGGAAGCTCTCAAAGGCATGGACAAGATGTTCTTGAACAACAACTCTGCTAACAGGCACACTTCTGGAGAAGGACCAGGTAGTAAAACCGGAGACAAGGAAGAGAAGCACAGAAAATGAAACACAAAACAAAGCTAATGAAATTAGGGGAAAAATAAAATGAAAGAAAAAGCAGAGAGAAAGAGAGAGAGAGAGAGGAGGAGGAGGAAGAGAGAAACATTTTTAAAAACTTTTTAATTTTAGGTTTAAAATATTGGATTGGGCTTTGGAAGAATTATACTAGGTAGGTTACACCCACAAATATTTTTTTCAAGGAAGTCAAGGCGAAAGGCGCACAATGGAGCAGGAACAGTGGCTCAGTGGCTTTTACAAAGGAACTTTTCAAGACAATTTCCAGGAATTTCCACTTCTGTTCTTCTGCAATCTTTTTTTATTGGGGTGGGAGGGCGTGGAAAGAGAAAAAAAAGCGTAATAATAATAATAATAATAATAATAGGTGTAAAAGCAATCAATAACTTATTGGAGGAATCATTTTGATAATGTTGATATGATGGCTGAGATCCATAGTCTGTTTCTGTATTACTGTTGTCTGGTTTTTTGTTTTTGTTTTTTTTTTAAAGTGTCTCTAAGTAGAAAAAAAAGCAAAAACCTTCTAAGGGATGGGTTTATTTAACATTGGACAGTCCGAATCAGAGCAAACATTCCTGCTTTAAATTCTGCCAACCGTAGCCTCTTTATTTGTGTGATATCTTGCCATTACCCGGGCCTTATCAATAATCTATGATATAGATTTCTGGAGCACAAGGGGAAGCAAAATTGTCCTCTGCGACTACATAGACGAACAACTTCAAATTCTGAAAGAGTGAAACTAAACCTACATCGATCACTCAGTGTCACCTGTTTCTCTATGGCCCCTTCTACACTGTCATATATAATCCAGATGATCAAAAATCATTATATGAGTCTACACTGCCATATTATCTATTTCAAAGCAGAAAATCTGGATTTTATATAGCTGTGTAGAAGGGGCCTTAATTCCCATTGATTTCTGGCATCTGCTCTAAGCATGACTAAATTCGTATTTAAAAGATTGACAATAATGGAGCCCTTTACTTACAGCAATATATATATATATATATATATATATATATATATATATATATATATAATATCTCCCCCTTCTGTAGAGGAGAAATGTTGTATCACAAGTGGCCCTGTGCTCGAAATTAGTGTGACTTGTTTATTATTTCTGACATGCTAACCATTCCTTCTGGGTATACATGGAGCTCTCCCATCTGCAAGGGTTTTCTTTACATTACAAGAAGTCTGTATGGCTTGATTACTGCTATGTAATCAAGGTAATCAAGTCAGACAATCCTCACAATCTGCTTTGAAATGGATTATATGAGTCTAAACTGCCATATAATTCAGTACAAAGTAGATAATACGGAATTTATATGGCAGTGTGGATGTGACTTCATGGGATAGCTAAGGATACCCTGAGGATGGATCTACACTGCCCCATATCCCAAGATCTGATCCCAGATTATCTCAGATTATCTGGAAGTGTAGACTCATATAATCCAGTTCAAAGCAGATAATCTGGGATCAAATCCTGGGATATAGGGTAGTGTATATCCAACCTGAGAAAATGTATTGTCGAAGGCCTTCATGGCCGGAATCACTGGGTTGTTGTAGGTTTTTCGGGCTGTATGGCTATGGTCTAGAGGCATTCTCTCCTGATGTTTCGCCTGCATCTATGGAAAGCATCCTCAGAGGTAGTGAGGTGACAAGCATCCTCAGAGGTCACCTCACTACCTCTGAGGATGCTTGCCATAGATGCAGGCAAAACGTCAGGAGAGAATGCCTCTAGACCATGGCCATACAGCCTGAAAAAACCTACAACAACCCAACCTGAGAAATATGGAAATATGTCTCTGAAGTAAACAAGAGAACCCACTTTTGAAAGAATCTCCATGTGTGCATTAAAGTGTGGATGGGGCTTTGAGATGGGAAATAATGTTGTGATCTTGAAACTGGGTCTACACCGCCATGTAATCCAGATTATCAAAGCAGATAATCCACATTATCTGCTTTGAATTGGATTATATGAGTCTACACTGCCATATAATCCAGTTCAAAGCAGATAATCTGGATTTTATATGGCAATGCAGATCCAGGTTGCCCATTCCTACTCTGAGTAGACATTTCCTCCTTTTCCAATTGATCAGCCTCTCTCTTTGAAATGTCTCAGATCACACAGACCGTTTTCTTTTTTTAAAAAACATGTCACTTACAAAAAATGTCTTGATAAGTTTGTAATTTCCTTCTTAGGATTATGCACCCTTTTTATTTTCTTTAGTTTCCCAAAGCTTTCCTCGCTTGGCTTATGAGCTTCTTCAAAGAGGACTAGAACTCCCTACACATTTCATCAGGTACAGAGATGAAAATCCACAATTCTGACATTTTTCCTTTCCAAGTCAAAACCGGCTGTTTTGGAATTCGGCAGGCGTACTTCTTTAAAGAAGCTCAAAGGGAAAAAAGATTAAGCAAAGCAATGGCAACGGAATAGGTGGTCTCATATTGAGAGGCAAAGACTATTTTCTCCATTAGCTAAAAGAGTTTTTTTTTTGGGGGGGGGGGCAATAACATTTGATGTGCTTTGTCAAGCAGGCTTGTTAAGTGTCTTTCCTCTTTAGAGGCTGCAAAAAAAAAAAGAATGCCCTTGTGCATCCTTTAGTTAGTCTCTTGCTTTAAGCAAATCCACTTTCCCCAGGTTATTGAGGCAGTTCTGAAAAAAATTGATGTAGAAGTCAAACAGCATGTTTTGGACAGGAGAATCAGTCAGCTTCCAATCATTTGCAGAAATTAAGTGCATTACGTTTTATATATGATGTATAAAATGTTTTATCTTCTTGTTTGGAATACTTAGAAAAACTGTGGTACGGTGCAAGAAGATAATATCACCCTGCATGTTGTCGGCTTGGGAAAATCTGTTTACTTGACAATGTCTGTAGAGTATAGAACGACAACTTCCCTTTTGTCAAGCAATTTATGTCTATGCATCACTTTGGCCTCACATATTGAATTCACTGTAATAGATCGGAGTAGATCATAAACACATTACATGGCTGTAATAGTTCTGGCAGAAGTTAGTTCTACTTAAGCAAAGGAGATGGCTGGGATTCCTGGCTCTGTCCAGGAATCTGTCCACTTTTCAATGTGGAATTCTGTTTCCAAACCCTCTTTGCAATTTTCAGTTAACAAAACTTTAGATCAGGGGTCCTCAAACTACGGCCCGCGGGCCGGATACAGCCCTCCAAGGTCATTTACCCAGCCCTCGCTCAGGGTCAACCAAAGTCTGAAACGACTTGAAAGCACACAACAACAACAATCACTGATCTATGTAGTGAGAAGGAGCGATATATATGCAAATATATGCAAACTATATTTAAATGTATTGTCGAAGGCTTTCATGGCTGGAATCACTCAGTTCTTGTGGGTTTTTTCGGGCTATATGGCCATGTTCTAGAGGCATTTCTCCTGACGTTTCGCCTGCATCTATGGCAAGCATCCTCAGAAGTGAGGTCCGTTTCCTGTTACTTGCCATAGATGCAGGTGAAACGTCAGGAGAAATGCTTCTAGAACATGGCCATATAGCCCGAAAAAACCCACAAGAATGAAGTTTATATTTGTTAAAATTGTCTTCATTTTAATTATTGTATTGTTTTTTGCACTACAAATAAGATATGTGCAGTGTGCATAGGAATTCATTCTTTTTTTCAAATTATAATCCGGCCCTCCAACAGTTTGAGGGACTGTGGCCTGGCCCTCTGTTTAAAAAGTTTGAGGACCCTTGTGTTAGATCATTCATACAGCTAGTGTCACACTGACGCAGCTTCACACATTGCAGATGTTTGACACATGGCTGAGAGAGCTGTTGTCAAATATAGTTCCCTACTCAGCACTTATACACCTTGGAAAGGCAAACCCCCTTTGAACAATCTTTGTAAGGGAATCCCATGATAGCATCGTTTTAGGATTCCCATACATCAGAAATGACTCGAAGGCAGGCACAACAACAACAAAGATACAAAAATGCAAGTGCTTCAATTAGAATCATAGAATCCTAGAGTTGGAAGAGACCTCATGGGCCAACCAGTCCAACCCCCTGCCAAGAAGCAGGAAAATGGCATTCAAAGCACCCCCAACAGATGGCCATCCAGCCTCTGTTTAAAAGCCTCCAAAGAAGGAGCTTTCACCACACTCTGGTGCAGAGAGTTCCACTGCTGAACAGCTCTCACAGTCAGGAAACATTTTTAATTTAATTTACAGCCTGATGACATCTACCTTGTTCCATAGAGTTCATTCTGCAATGTCTATTATATGTTTTGCCTCTACAAAACTGTTCCCTGCGATTCCTGATTTCACACTCATAAGATGTACTTGAAATTAAGAGTTGGAAGAGACCTCACGGGCCATCTAGTCCAATCCCCTACCAAGAAGCAGGAAAATGGCATTCAAAGCACCCCCAACAGATGGCCATCCAGCCTCTGTTTAAAAGCCTCCAAAGAAGGAGCCTCCACCACACTCTGGGGAAAAGAGTTCCACTGCTGAACAACTTTCACAGTCAGGAAATATTTTAAATTTAATTTACAGCCTGATGACATCTACCTTGTTCCGTAGAGTTCATTGTGCAATGTCTATTATATGTTTTGCCTCTACAAAACTGTTCCCTGCGATTCCTGATTTCACACTCATAAGATGTACTTGAAATTAAGCCCGTATTTTCACACTGAATTATTCTATCATGACTTGAACTGTAGAACTAGACCTGGGGAGAGAGGCACAGGGCTCCCCGTGAAAGTGAAAAACTGTGAATGAAGAAATCTCTATTTACTTGTATCTGAGAGAACATCTCTCTAGGAATTCCTTAGTCTTCCAGCATGACTTGATTATCAAGGTCTTCTGGAAAGTGTCTCTAAAATTGCACTGGAGATCCCAGAAATGTCTAGAGAGATATTCTCCTTCCTCCAGCATGATCCGAGGAAGATGACCATATAGTCACACTGAGGGAACTGTTGAGATTCCCAAAGAATATGTTTTAATAAAATCCATGAATAATCCACACAAATCAATCCCGCAAATATGGAAGTCTGACTATATTTAATTTTTCATATAACCTATTCAAAGGCTGGTTAACTGGTAATTTATTGGATTTGGCCAGTTCTAAATATGTAATCTTGGAAGGAAGTTTAATCAAGTGGTGGTTGTTGATTCACTGTTGAAGGCCTCAAATTTAAATGTTGAATAGACTTGGAGTAAATCCAAATATTACATTCAGTTCTATGTCAAGTTTTACATTCAGTTCTTGAATAAAGACAGAGCCCTGGACTGATCTATTGTCCCGTTTAAGCAGTCTGGATCTACACTGTGCTATATCCCAGGATTTGATCCCAGATTATATGCTTTGAACTGGATTATATGAGTCTACACTGCCAGATAATCTGGGATAAGAAGATATTTTGGGATTTTTTTTATCGTGTCAGAAGCAACTTGAGAACATACTGAGAGAATTGGCCATCTACAGAGACGTTGCCCAGGGTATGCCTGCATGTGTTACATCCTGCAGGGAGGCTCCTCTCATGTCCCTGCAAGCTAGAGCTGACAGATGGGAGCTCACCTCTCACGGATTCTAATTAGCAACCTTCCGGTCAGCAACCCAACCTTCAGATCAGCAGTCCAGCTGGCACAAGGGTTTAACCCATTGCGCTACCACAGGTCTATCAGATTCTGGGATCAGATCCTGGGATATAAGGTAGTGTAGATCCAACTTCAATTGCATGGCCCTAAAATCAGTAGTTATGTCACCAAGTTCCATTTCCAAAGAGGCATTATCTTCTGTTGGGGTGAAAAGGAAGTTTTTTTTTAATGATGCATTTTGTCCAGAACTTTTTGATTTTCCAATTCCTGAGCAAATTAAAATTTTTGATGATTAATTAACTGATCAGTTAGCTTTAATTTTGAATTTCAATTTTCATCTACATTTGAAAAAGTGGATTGAAATCTTTGAAATCTCTTACTCACATAAGTAAGTCTTAGGCCCCTTCGATACTGCCATATAAAATCGAGAATACCTGCTTTGAACTGGATTATATGGCAGTGTAGACTCAGATAATCCAGTTCAAACCAGATGCCTGTTTTGATAATGTGGATTATATGGCAGTGTAGAAGTGGCCTCAACTGAAGTGGTAGCAACCCTAGGACATAA